ATCCTATGATCCCTCTATCTTCTTTGCTCACTGATAACCCTGCATTTTGATGCCTTAAGTGCATCAATTCAGGGGTATTTTCGACCTTAGAGTAGTCAAAGTGTACCATTTTCCCAGTTAAAATAAATTATGTGACCTCTAAGAGTCTCTATGCAAATTATGTAGAAAACTGAGAAGTTTTCTAGGCTGAAGTGCAGTTTTTGGGAAGCTAGTGTGAAGACCAGCTGAGAGAGGGGGTGTTTTTGTAAAGAACTGAAAACGGGAGGGCGCCTCCTATCTGCTAAACCCAGTTGGCGCCCATCCTATTGTATTACCATGCTCCCCTCTCCTTAGCAAACCCTAGGGAGCCTTTTCAACCTAATCTTTTCACTCTTAGCAAACCCTAGCCGCCCTTAGGTGTTTAATCTCCACCCTCCACCTCTTTTAATCTCAACCACTCATTATAGGGCTCTCCTTTATAAATTTTAAACCCTAGGGCGCCACCTAATCCTCACCATTCAGCCCCTCACCTCCAAATCTCAGCCACTCCCTCCATCTTATATCCCAACCATTCAATCTAGGGCACCACCTATTCTTTTAATCTTAACCCTTCAACCCTAGATGTTCTAATCTACACCCTCCATTTCTGGGCGTTCAAATTTCAGCCATACATAATATTGGGTGCCATCTCCTTCCATTTTCAGCCATAGAGTCACCCCAAAACCATCTTAGCCATCCATTAGAAACCCTAGGGCATCCCTAACTTTGCTAAATTCTAGTTGTCGCCCCCCATCTTTCTCCCTATTTGCAGTTGTGTCCACCATTCTCTATAAAAAGGGTCCTAGGGGCCCTATAGAAGGGGTTGCCCAATTCACCCAGTTAACAAGGCTAAGGTTTCTTGAGGAGTTCAAGGGTTGTAGAAGGGGAGGACGCCCAGATCTTGTTAGGAGGGGTTCCTGCAAGCTGTTCAACCATTCTGCAACTACCGCCACTGGATCGGATCAACCATTCTTTTCTTTTCTTTATTTTCTTTTTTCTTATTTTTATTTATGCAATCTTTTAGATTTAATTCTTGTTCGTTTCTCTATTTTGCAGATCTGAATTCGTTCGGTTCAAGGCTAAGGTGTCTCGAGGGGTTCGAGGGTTGTAGAAAGAGCAGACGCCCGGTTCTTGTCAGGAGGGGTTTCTGCAAGCTATCTGGCCGATCTACAGCTACCGCCACCGGATCCGGATTCTGGATCATTTTTTTTTATTTATTTCTTTTATTTCCTTTGATGATTCCCATACTTTATTAAATTCTGATTTTTATTTATTGTCATGTTTAAATTCGAAACATTTAATTTCAGTAATAATAGATTTTATTTTCGTACTTTCTACCATTCCCGATTGCATTCTCTTGCCCGGATCTAAGTATATATTAATTTTTCACTTGCTTCCCTATGGATACGACCCGTTCTCACCCATTTACTACGTTATTAGTTGTTTGAGAAACGGTAAAAATTATAAATGTTTAAACTGGTATTCCGGAGTGTTTAACGACGTGCTTCCAGACACACCACTCACACCCACCGGAACATTAAAAACTGACATATAATAGACAGGTAGGTTGGAGAGGGTCGATCTAATCAAGGTAATTCTGCCCCCCAGGATAAATACCCTTTTTTCCAAAAGAAGCAAGGTTCTGGGATCCGGTGGTTAGAGGTTTTGTAAGAGGCTTTCTAATTGGAAAAAAGGGTATTTATCCTAGGGGCAGAATTACCTTGATTAAATCGACCCTCTCCAACCTACTTGTCTATTATATGTCAGTTTTTAAGGTTCCGATGGGTGTGAGCAAAGAAGATAGAGGGATCATAGGATTAGTCGGGAAGTGGTTAATAGAGGTAAGAATGTAGGGAGGTTGGGTTTAGGTAATATACAGAGAAGAAGCTTAGCTCTCATGGGGAAATGGCCATGGAAAATGTCACAAGACTAGGACAAGTTATGGGCAAAGGTGGTAGTAAGCATTCATGGGCTCTTGGATAACGACTGGGATGCTAGAGCATTGGCAAGGGCAACTCGAGCTTCTCGTTGGAAGGCCATCAATGAGGTTGAAAGTGTTCAGCCAAACAGAGAAGAGAAGAGAGAGAAGGAAGAAAGAAGAAGAAGAAGAAGAGAAAAGAAGAGAAGAGAGAAAGAAGAAGACGACTAAAATACCCTTCTCTAACTGACTCTAACACTCCCCCTCAAGCTGGAGGGTATATTTGGATTGGCACCAAGAGGCAGCCCTAAATAACTGAGAGGCCACTGAGCAACATTACACCCAAATATATTTGCATACTCTTTAACTCCCCTTCTTCCATATTCACCCTAACTATGCTACTCTTTTCGAAACAACCTAATTATACATTTAATTAGTGTCTCCTTACTACTCTCATGTCCCTTGAATATCCTTGCATCTCTCTTCCAAAACCATCCAAAGAAGTGTTGCTCTAGTATATCTCAACATGATTCTTCCCCTTCGAGAATAAGCTAGCCATGCAAAACGAGGAATTCCGCCTACACCAAATAAAGTGAGAACCCATTATTCCCAAATGCAATTAACAAATGGACAGAAGAATAGAAAATGATAGAAAGCCTCACTAGAAGATTTACAAAGACTGCACCATTGAGGAGATAAACACCAATTAGGCCATTTTTAGAGAACATCAAAAGTATGAATTTCCTTTTTTTTTTTTTTGATAATTGATCAAAAGTATGAATTTTCTCATAAAAGACCTCCAACAAAAAGCCCTAATTTTAGGAGGAACGGGTTCGTCGCAAATCCATTAATTGGTGTAATGGTAAAATCTCAGGTTGACAGTTGTGACAATGGATCTGAGTTTGACAGTAGCTACTTTATTCAAAAAAATAAATAAATAAGCCGAAGGTTAGGACCATATCTGGTCTACCCCTCCCAAGACACTAGATAGCAGGGACGAACATTGAGTAATGACCTTTTTTAGGTTTGTTGCAAATCTCTTTCACAAGAAAAAGCCGCAAAGGTAGAAAAGAAGGGGGGAAATCTGGTAAAACAATATGGGAGGGTTTCAAAGAGGCTGAAAAGGGGAGAAATCTGCTATCAAGGGTTTACAGGCAGAAACAAAAATATAGAACTAAACCATAGCAAAAAGTTGAGGAATTTGGAGTTATGTTGATGCAGCTTTAGATTCAGAAAAGGGAGATGTAATTATTGATGAGACATGAAATTGAGAGTTCAATTGATTTAGAGACGGTAGTGAGTAAAGAAGTAGAGGTAAGTAAAACTTCGGATTTATTTTTAAGGTTACTCTGCCCCCTAAAGAAATGTAGTTCCTCCTCCAAGCCGCCAATCCTTTTTCAAATTTTTCCACCACAAGGTTCCAAAACCGACTTTCCTTTGGGTTGGCACCTAGGGGAAGTCCTAAATAGGTCAAAGGCCAGTTGGAATAGGTGCAATCTAAGCAGGGCAGTGATAGTCTCCACTACCCCTTCATCCAACTTTAGTCCAACCACACAACTCTTTTCAAAATTGATTTTCAAATTAGAGGCATTATCAAAGAGGATAATCAGATTCTTCAAGTTTCTCACTTCCACCAAATCACAACCCTCACAAAAGATGATAATGCCATCTGCAAACTGAAAGTGGGTTACCAGAATTCTAGAGATGTAATTATTCCTTTTGTGAAGTAGAAAATTAATTTTTTCATTGATAATTAAAAAATTAATGTTTACGCAAAGTGTCTAAATCTAGATTATATGATTTAATTGTCAATCCAACTATGCATAACATTAGTCTGGACATGGGGGTTATTTTTAACTTTCTGTGAGAGCAATCCTGTAACATTAGTCTGGACATGGTATCTTCTTTTTTGTTTAATAAAATTTTTTCTTTATCTTCAAAAAATATTGTACCATTTTTTTTATGAATGAAAGTACTTTATTAATCCAGAAATTAAGGCAATACAGGAAACCCATGAAGAGGCACGAGCTGTTGCCTCTTCTAACAAAGTATTACATCAAATTAAAACAGGAAAAAACAGAAATAAAATTACAAATAGCAGCCCAAAATAAATGATCCCTTGAAGCCCCTTGCTTAGCTAGCCCATCTGCTAAAGAATTTGCTGATCTTCCCACCCAAAGAGAGGTGACTGTCATATTTCTTGTGAGCCAGTTGACTTTCCTCAATAAGTCTCTGTATCGCCACATAGCTGAAGCTGGCTCTGTCAGCCATCCCACAACAATTTTGGAGTCTCCTTGAACTACCAAATGTTGAACTCCTAATTGTTCTGCAATCTAAATACCTTGTACAGCTGCTAAGATCTCAGCTCTATTAGAGTCTCCTATTCCCACAGGGCCTGAAAACAATGCTAAAATTGTACCATTTATTATAAATAATAATAATAAGATGCACTAGCAACCTACATTTTTGGCTCTCAAACTCTTTTCACTCTTTTTCTCCTCTCTTCCCTCTTTTCTTCTTTTTTTCTTTTCTTCTTCATTCTTCTTCTCTAACCAAGCTTTTTAATCAATAAAACCTTCAAATCTAGTGAAACTATTTCTATAACCAAGCACTTGGCTTCACAAATAGGTGAACATGAAAGTAGATGTTCATAATCAGAAGTACCCTCAAAGAATTGGACCAAGTCAAATTTGAGCCATTTCGCAGTCCAACATGACCTCAGTAAATTTAACAATAAAGTTATTTTCCAACTTCTCTTAGTCTGTTAAGTAAATAATATTGCAGAATTTTTTTATCAGCAACACAGAAATGATTCATTAAATTAAAAAATCATGTAGAACAAGAAGTTGTGAGCAGAAAAGAAGTCAAAGAAAATCTCACTAATTACAACACAGCCCCAAGCATAGCCCAAAGGAAAATTCCACTAATTACAACATAGCCCCAAATGCAATATTAAACATCTTAAATGCAAAGAAACCCTACAAAATTTCCACATCTAGATGCTGGAAAGATAGTAAGAGGATAAGAAAATAGAAAATAGAAAAAAAGATAGAAACACAAGTACCTCCAACCCAGCATAGACAGCTACAAATAAAGCATACCCAGCTGGACCATAGCCTGTTTATGGAAAGCATTATATGAGCACATAAAGCAACCAGTTTATCATTTTTTTCATTTTGGTTTGATCAGTAACACAAAATGGTTTCATTGATGATAGGAAGCCTTTCTACTCTAAAACAGCAAAAAGGAAGAAAATAAGGCAAGCCTTGACGATTACAACCAGTGTATCATAATAAATGATTACAAAACAACAGGCCATGTGAAATTTGATATTCATTTTCCATCAAAAGATGATAGCAGAATACTCACATTAAGGAAAGCCCTATTAAAAGTGCTAAGATTAATATTAGTAATAGGCAGCAGGACAGTTTCGCTAATTTTACCGATGTTTTATTTACTTTCTCTCTTTTCCTCTGCTTTCTCTTACCTTCTTATTTTCTCTTTCACTTTATTGGTATCAGGTTATATTACAATGATGCTATTATCAGAACATAATCAGTAATGGTTTAGTTGTTCTACCTATCAAAAAACGATAAGTAATTCCTGGAAAAGAGATCATATGTGGCACCAAAGCCTAAGAAGTGGCAAGAAAAACCATATTTTTCTCCAAAGTCTGTATGGGCCTTTGAGTGGCTCTCATAGTAAGCCAGCAATTGGACTTTTCACAAATCCATATAAATATGGCCCCTAGGGCTAACCGATTTGCATGCAAGCCTAAACACAACAAATTTTCAAGTTGAAACTCAAGGCCCACAATATTGGGTCCATTCCAGCAAACCCAATAACTTAGCTACCAACTTAAGTAGACCTCATTTAACATAGTTGTCAAGGCATACACCAAGGTGACAAGGTGCCCATGGAGGGTAACCTTTAGACTTGGCAAAAGTCAACCCAACCTGAAAAACATGGGTTAGGGTCCCCTAATGTAGTGACCCAAAGTAGAAGGAGACTTGACCCAACCCAAATCAACCTGTTGAGCTGTAAAGTGGGTTGTGCCGCTGGGCCACGATGCTATCTAGCCCATACCCCCAGGCCATGCCAGGCTTGGGCTTTAAGGCTTGTAGGCCGAAATAGCACGACACAACAAAGTGGTTCATGCTAGCACAACCCGTGGTCCAACACGGCACGACCCGTTTTTGAAAGCTAAATTACTGTAGCCGAAGTAGCAGAAAAGAGAAGAAGAAGAAGAAGAAGAAGAAGAGATGCTGGAATGTCGAACTGCTCTGCTCAGTCGACAGTACTATTATTTATATTATGGTGTAGTACAATGATACAGGAAGTTACT